CGAGCACCTTTGATCACAATGCGTAGGCCGCAGCGCGTCTCCCAAGGAACGCTAAGCACAGCTTCTATCGCCAAGTCGGGGCACGAAACACTGGCCAGGACATAATCATATAGGCACCCAGGGCCTTTGCCGCAAGTAACCTTACAGTTGGCAGGGACTTCAACCCTAGCCTGCGCTGGCGCACCCAGCCGCTGTCAGTCAAGGCGGGCGGCTCGCAGCTCCAATCTGCCACTACCAGCCAAGGATCAGCAAGAGCCCGGGTGAAAGACGCCAGGGCTACCAATCTATCGCTGTTGATGCCACGGAAACCCACACCAGGCTGCAAGTAGGCGGCTGCAACAACGACATTCCCTGTCTTCAGGTGCAGGGCCAGAGGAACAAAACCGTTGCAAAGGCCCTGGCGGCCATCAGCCCGAGCAGCAGCCCGCATACGGCCAAAAGAGCTGATCGTCACAAAGTTGCAGGTGAGAACCCATTCTCCGCCGCGGAGCCCCGAAGCCGATCGCCCCGGGGGCCGAGCGGGGGTGGGGCTCAGCTGTCAACCATCCTTGTCGAGGTCTGCTTCCAGCTGCGGCAGGGCCTGAGCCCCTTGATGGGTCTCGACCAGCGCAACAACTGAATGCTCATAGAACTTATCCGTGAGGAACCGTCGGGCCTGAGGGCCCCACTCTGTGATGTTGGAGTGGAAGACCGCAGCGTCCTTGGCCTCCCCTGCACACTCGCGGTCACAGGCGCTGCTGCGGCTGCTGCTGCTGCTGCTGGGCAGGCCTTGCGCCGTCGGGAGCAGCCTCAGTACGAGAAGCGTCAGCAGGAGGCGACCCACGGTCTGCAGCGAGAGTGGCCTCGCGGGAGGAGGCCGCGATGGACGCGATGAGCTTGGTGCGATCCTCCGTCGTGAGCTTGGGCCCAGGAGGCCCAGCGCCTGCTGCGAGGCCACCGCCGCCTGCCCCTGAAGCCGAAGAGGCGCCACTGCCAGCATCGGGGACGGAGTCAGCGGTCTCGTCAGCCTTGGCCTCGCCCTCGCCAGCGCACCGCTTCTTGCGGGGCGCGCAAAGAGCCTTCTTCGCGGAAGCCAGGAGGTCCTTGAACTACGCATCGCGTGCCTTCGCCTGCGCTGCAACGTCCAGCAGCTGCTTCTGGAAGCATTCGAGCTTGGTGCGGTCCTCCCCCTCGTAGTCGCCCAGGTTCTCGAAGAGGGAGGCGTCAACGCCGAAGATGGAGCCGTCACGGGTGCCAGCCTTGTCCGAGCCGCCCGCCGTACCCCCGTGGGCAGCCTCCGGGGCCGCCAAGCGAGCCTGGTCGGCCTCGAACAGCTCCTCGGCGGCGGCCAGGTGGCGCCCACGGGCCTCCTCCAACCAGACCTCAGCGGACAGGAGGGTCCTGGACGCCTTGGCCAGCTGGGCTTGCTTCTGCGCGCAGAGGGAGGTGGCCTCACGGAGGACGGCGTACGGACACGTGGCCTTCGGCTTAGGCTTCGCTGTGGCCGTGGCCTCCTCGAACTGAGCCAGGGCGAGGGCCGAGGAGTCCGAGGTGAGGCCCGTCGCCTTGAGGTACTGCTCTAGCAACTGGGATGGCTCGGCTTTGGAAGGGACGAGCGCTGGCCAATCATTCGAGGGCCGCGTCTACTCTGACCAGGAGTGCTGAGCCGATGGCGCACGGCCCCAAGGATTCTGGACGAAACCCGACACGTGGCTGCCGCAGACCTTGCACTTACCCAGCTGCTTGCGGAGGCGCCAATCCCACGCCCAGTTGCCACAGGAGGCACAGAAAGTATACGACTTCTTGATGGTGTCACCATTGCCTTTGGGAGGAGACATGAAACACAACCGCTCACATCTGAGGTGGCGGGGTCCTGCTCTGGGGCGAACCAGACATGCTCCAGGTCAGGGCGAACTGACCGAGAAGGATGAAAGCTGCCGCGGACTAGCGGTATCCAGTCTTGCCAATGCGGGCTCAGCCCGCCAAGCGTCAGCCTTGAGCCAAAATGGCTACGGATGGGGAGGAGGAGGAGGAGGAGGAGGAGGAGGAGGAGGAATTGGAATTGGCCCCTTCGCGAAGCGAAATGGAGGAGGAAGAGGAGGAGGAGAAGGAGGAGGAGGAGGACGAGGAGGAGGAGGATGGAGATACGGAGGAGGAGCACGGGGAGGAGGGGGAGAAAGAGGGGGGAGGAGAAGGAGGAGGAGGAGGAGGAGGACGGGGAGGAGGAGGGGGAGAGGAGGAGGACCAATCCACAAACAGCCCCCCAGCGACTGCATTGAACGAGGCCACCGATCGTCGCGCTTCGCGCCGCGCGAAACGAGAAGCGCGGGGTTACCCTCGAGGCACCCCTCCAGATCTCTCAGAAGCAAACTCCTGCCCGAGGGTCCGCTCAGGGGACGATTCCCTGACATTGTTGGTGCGGCGCGGGGAGGAAATGCACATCCACCGTTCGGGGAACCAGCGTCCTGGAATCCCAGTGGGCGGTGGATGTGCACACATTTGGCCTCCAAGGGGCCCGAATACATCCATATCAACCGCCCGCCGAGGTCTCCGAAGATCGATCGCCTCAGGCGGCGGTCATGGACGAATCCTCGCCGCGTGGCAGGGGTCCGAACGACTGGAGCGGTCCCTCAACTTGCGCTGCGCTGAAGCCCCCACGGTCTGTTCCACCTTGCATGGGTGTCTCTGTCCAGTGCCTCGGTCTGCTTATCTGGCATGATCCCCGCAGGCCGACTGGTCAGAGCCGCAAATTCGAAGCCCTCGGGGACAACGCCTCCCGGGTTCCACCCTGGCCACCATGTGACGGGGCCAAAAAAGGTACACCACCACCACCACCGCCTCCCTCACCCCCTCCCTCTCCCAGGAAACACGAGGGATGGAGGAGGGCGGAGGAGGGAGGGGGAATGGAGGTGGTGGTGGTGGTGCATGCTTTGGAGCCTGCCTGCACATCTCGAGCTGCGCCCCGCCGCGGCCACGAGGAGTGCCCCCTACGGCAAGGAGCGAGGATCGGAGGCGGGCCAGCCGAGCCAACGGCGGTCCTCCCGCCTCGCCCAAGGCCGCTCAAAAGTCGTCGCCGGGCCCCTTCCGGGCTCCATCCTGGCTCGTCGTTCGAGTACTCCAGATTTCGTAATAAAGGGAGGGGGGTCTCATTTCGGGGGGGGGTCTCTTCCAGGCTATCTTGGAGGGCCTGGGGGGTCTGGGGTCGATGTTTTGGAGGGTTCTCCCACGGGGGAGGTCTGAAATGGCTTGTCTTGGAGGGTCCAGACCCCCTCTCTTTTAATACGAAATCTGGAGTAGGGGATCAACTACAGAATCGATTTACCCCAAAACTTTTTTACCCGTCGAGTCCACGAAGAGGTCGTGGGATGCTCCGTGGATCTACGGAACCGTCTGCCCTATGTTTGGGAGATTCGAGGGACAAGTCAATTTTTGGGGGTAAGCCAACTCTGTAGTCGACCCCCGACTCGAGCTGTTCGACACGGATCAAGCCCTGGCGACGAGAGGCCTCCAGGGGGCACGAGAGAGGCACAGGAGGCCTGAGGGCGGGCCTGCCGTTGCCTCGGCTGGCCCTCCTCCGAGGGGAGGGGCCGCGCAACGGCGTGGGCACAACCAAGGCTGCACGGGGAAACGTCGGCGCGTCGACCTTGGTCACCGTCCATCTCTAGACTCAAAAAAAACGGCATAAAGATAGTCGCCGGCCCAACGGGCCAGAGGCGTGGTAAGATCTCCGGTAACTGCGTACAGAATTTCTACTTCGCGCGCGCTGAGCGGCCCCTGGGGGTCCACAGACGAAAAGCACCATGGCCTGTCCCCGGCCAGTTCGGATCAGAGATCCCCGGCCAGGTCGGGTCGGGTGGGCGCCGCCCTCGAGGCCCTCCAGAAAGCCCCAAGAAGGGCCAAGAGGCCCCCAAGAGGCCCACAAGATAGGACAAGATGCCACAAGATCGCTCCAAGATGCCCAAGATTGCCCCCAGACGCCCCGAAAGGCTTCCAAAAGCACTCCCAAGAGGGTCCCGCGACGTAAAATTCATTGATTTTCCGAAGGGTTTTGAACAGATTTGGGCGTTTCCCCCTTTTCGGCTTCCCGACTCCTCAAGATGGCCCAAGAGGTCCCCAAGATCGCTCCAACAGGGTCCAAGAGGGCCCCAAGAGAACCCCAAGACGGCCCAAGAGGGCTCCAGGACCGCCCAAGACGACTCCAAGACGGCCCAAGAAGGCCCCAAGAACGCCCCAAGAGAGGCCCCAGAGGGGGAACACGAAACAACAGTTCGATCCCTCGGCCATAAGCAGCCCTAGGGGCGGCACCAGAGGCACCACCAGGGGGCCCTAGCACAGGCCCAAGAACTCCGCGCGGACCGTCAAGAGTCTATGTTTATGTCGTTTGTTGTTCTTCGAGTCCATCTGGGTTATCGACGACTCATGGCTCATCCTCGCGGATCGGCGATGCCCTGCACGGACCTTGACCAAGATCGGCGTCGACCAAACCCCCGCGACACCTTGGTCATGATCGGTGTGCGTTTTCCCTCGAGCTCCCTGGACCTCTCTGGCAACAAAGGCACTCCAGGGCGAGCACCTCTTGGCGGCGCGCACCAGGGGGCAGGGGGAGGGGGGGAAGGCTTCTCAGAAGGAGGCTGCTCCTCAGAAGGCGCTAGCCCTACATCTACAGACAAGGCCCGCGCCTTCTACGAAGAAGCCTCCGTCTACCATGGGAACGAAGAATTACATAAACATCAAAACTCGGAGGTCCGCGCGGATTTCTCGGATCGGCGCTGGACCCCCCTCCCTGGCGCGCGGAGCGCGCCAGGGGCGGCGCCGCAGGCACCGCCAAGGAGGTGCCCAGCGCGGATCCGAGAAACTCGCGCGAACCTCCGAGTTTTTACGTTTATGCAATTTTTTCGCTCCCTGGTCTACGAAGCCATCCCTCCTCCTCCTGCCACCCTCTGCGCGTGGCCGAAAGGCACTCCAGGACGAGCATCTCGGCGACATCCTGCCTCCAAGCTGCGTCCCTCGAAGGGACGGGCCTGCAGCCCCGCTAGCAGCGTCGTGTCGGACAGCATGCTGTCCTGGCCACGGCGAGGCCGGCCCTCCTGCCGTCGCTGCGCCTCGCCATCCCCCCCCCCTCCCCGTCGTACTCCTCTTCCGCATCTCTGCCCTCCCTCCTCCCTCCTGATGATAGTGTTGCTCGCCCTGCTGATCTATATATATATATATACTATATATATATATGTATACATGCATACATACATGCATACATACATACATACATAATCATATACATATACATATATATATATATATAACATACATACATACATACATACATACATACATACATACATACATACATACATACATACATACATACATACATACATGCATGCATGCATGCATGCATGCATGCATACATACATACATACATACGTACATACACATACACATACGCATATACATATACATATACATATACGTATACATATAAATATACATACACATATGCATATACATATACATAGACATATACATATATATATATATACACATATGCATATACATATACATATGCATGTACATATACACATAAACATATACACCTATACATGAATATCTAGAAATACACATATTCCTCTTCCTATATGTTTATAAGCCTGGGGGGGGGGGGGGAAACCCGTCACCCCGCCGCCCCCCCCCCCCCCCCATTACGCTACCGAGGAACCCCACATACTTAATTTAAATCTTATGTGCTTGCTAAAGTTTATCATATATGCGCAATTCTGCGTTCTCAGCCCTCGTCGCGAATGTTCCCTTTGTGTCATCCAACACCATATTGCTTGAACCTCCTCCCTCCTCCTAGCCTTCTATCCTCCATCGAGGACAGATTCGAGCCAGCCAGCTGCCGCGGTGAGGGACCACCCCCTGCGCACCCTCTATGGTGTCGAGAAAGTGCCACGCCTGCTATGCCCTGGACGACCGTCGTGCATGGCGGCCGCGGTGAGAGACCTCCCCCTGCGCAGCCTTTATGGTGTCGAGAAAATGCCGCGCCTGCTATGCCCTGGACGACCGTCGTGCATAGCGGCCGCGGTGAGGGACCACCCCCTGCGCACCCTCCATACCGTCGAGAGAAGTGCCACGCCTGCTGTGCCTGGACGACCGTCGTGCATAGCGACCTCAGTGACAGACCACCCCCTGCGCACCCCTCTGTGGTGTCGAGAAAGTGCCACGCCTGCTGTGCCTGGAAAACCGTCGTGCGTAGCGGCGGCGGTGAGAGACCACCCCCTGCGCACCCACAATGGTGTCGAGAAAGTGCCACGCCTGCTGTGCCTGGACGACCGTCGTGCATAGCGGCCGCGGTGAGAGACCACCCTGTGGTGTCGAGAAAGTGCCACGCCTGCTGTGCCTGGACGACCGTCGTGCATAGCGGCCGCGGTGAGACCACCCCCTGTGGTGTCGAGAAAGTGCCACGCCTGCTGTGCCTGGACGACCGTCGTGCATAGCGGCCGCGGTGAGACCACCCTGTGGTGTCGAGAAAGTGCCACGCATGCTGTGCCTGGACGACCGTCGTGCATAGCGGACGCGGTGAGAGACCACCCCCTGCGCACCCCCTGTGGTGTCGGGAAAGTGCCACGCCTGCTGTGCCCGGACGACCGTCGTGCATAGAGGCCGCGGTGAGAGACCACCCCCTGCGCAACCCCTGTGGTGTCGAGAATGTGCCACGCCTGCTGTGCCTGGACGACCGTCGTGCATAGCGGCCGCGGTGAGAGACCACCCCTGCGCACCCCCTGTGGTGTCGAGAAGTGCCACGCCTTCTGTGCCTTGACGACCGTCGTGCATAGCGGCCGCGGTGAAAGACCACCCCCCTGCGCACCCCCTGTGGTGTCGAGAATGTGCACGCCTTTGACGCCTGCGACCCACGACCACGGCCGCGGTGTGCGCACCCCCTGTGGTGTCGAGAAGTGCCACGCCTGCTGTGCCTGGACGACCGTCGTGCATAGCGGCCGCGGTGAGAGACCACCCCCTGCTCAGCCCCTGTGGTGTCGAGAATGTGCCACGCCTGCTGTGCCTGGACGACCGTCGTGCATAGCGGCCGCGGTGAGAGACCACCCCCTGCGCACCCCCTGTGGTGTCGAGAAAGTGCCACGCCTGCTGTGCCTGGACGACCGTCGTGCATAGCGGACGCGGTGAAAAACCACCCCCTGCACAGCCCCTGTGGTGTCGAGAATGTGCCACGCCTGCTGTGCCTGGACGACCGTCGTGCGTAGCGGACGCGGTGAGAGACCACCCCCCTGCACAGCCCCTGTGGTGTCGAGAATGTGCCACGCCTGCTGTGCCTGGACGACCGTCGTGCATAGCGGCCGCGGTGAGAGACCACCCCCTGCGCACCCCCTGTGGTGTCGAGAAAGTGCCACGCCTGCTGTGCCTGGACGACGTCGTGCATAGCGGCCGCGGTGAGAGACCACCCCCTGCGCACCCCCTGTGGTGTCGAGAATGTGCCACGCCTGCTGTGCCTGGACGACCGTCGTGCATAGCGGCCGCGGTGAGAGACCACCCCCTGCGCACCCCCTGTGGTGTCGAGAATGTGCCACGCCTGCTGTGCCTGGACGACCGTCGTGCGTAGTGCCACCCCTGGGTGTCGAGAAAGTGCCACGCACCGTCGTGCATAGCGGCCGCGGTGAGAGACCACCCCCTGCGCACCCCCTGTGGTGTCGAGAAAGTGCTGTGCACGCCTGCTGTGGTGTCCTGCTGACGACCGTCGTGCGTAGCGGCGCGGTGAGAGACCACCCCCTGCACAGCCCCTGTGGTGTCGAGAAAGTGCCACGCCTGCTGTGCCTGGACGACCGTCGTGCATAGCGGCCGCGGTGAGAGACCACCCCCTGCGCACCCCCTGTGGTGTCGAGAATGTGCCACGCCTGCTGTGCCTGGACGACCGTCGTGCATAGCGGCCGCGGTGAGAGACCACCCCCTGCGCACCCCCTGTGGTGTCGAGAAAGTGCCACGCCTGCTGTGCCTGGACGACCGTCGTGCATAGCGGCCGCGGTGAGAGACCACCCCCTGCGCACCCCCTGTGGTGTCGAGAATGTGCCACGCCTGCTGTGCCTGGACGACCGTCGTGCATAGCGGCCGCGGTGAGAGACCACCCCCTGCGCACGCCCCTGTGGTGTCGAGAATGTGCTGTGCCTGCGACGTCGTGCAAGACCACCCCCTGCGCACCCCCTGGTGTCGAGAATGCACGCCTGCTGTGCCTGGACGACCGTCGGATAGCGGCCGCGGTGAGAGACCACCCCCTGCGCACCCCCTGTGGTGTCGAGAATGTGCCACGCCTGCTGTGCCTGGACGACCGTCGTGCATAGCGGCCGCGGTGAGAGACCACCCCCTGCGCACCCCCTGTGGTGTCGAGAAAGTGCCACGCCTGCTGTGCCTGGACGACCGTCGTGCATAGCGGCCGCGGTGAGAGACCACCCCCTGCGCACCCCCTGTGGTGTCGAGAAAGTGCCACGCCTGCTGCCTGGACGACCGTCGTGCATAGCGGACGCGGTGAGAGACCGCCCCCTGCACAGCCCCTGTGGTGTCGAGAAAGTGCCACGCCTGCTGTGCCTGGACGACCGTCGTGCATAGCGGCCGCGGTGAGAGACCACCCCCTGCGCACCCCCTGTGGTGTCGAGAAAGTGCCACGCCTGCTGTGCCTGGACGACAGTCGTGCATAGCGGCCGCGGTGAGAGACCACCCCCTGCGCACCCCCTGTGGTGTCGAGAATGTGCCACGCCTGCTGTGCCTGGACGACCGTCGTGCATAGCTGTGTGTGAGGTGAGAAAGAAAGAGAAGGAGAGGGAGGAGAAGGAGGAGGAGACGCGGGTGAGACGCGGAAGGGAAGAAAACCAGAACCCCACGGAACATCTGGGGAATAACCAGACTCCCGGGATCTGGGGCTTTGGGACCCTCCAGACGGGCCTCGAAGCGGCCCCCCGGGCCTCGCAGGGCGTTTTGCCAAGCCTTCCCAGCACAACTAGGGCGATCAGGGGGTTCATCGGAGACGTCCCGGAGACCCCCAAGACAGCACAAGAGCGCTCCAAGAGTGACCGACGTGACCTCAAGATGGCCCAAGAGGCCTCCAGGACGGCCCCAAAGAGGCCTCCAAGAGCACTCCCAAGAAGGCCCAAGAGGCAAACATCATTGATTTTCTGTTGGTTTTTGGTGAATTTGGGGGTTCTCCTCTTCTCGGCTTCCCGACGCTCCAAGACGGCGGTCTTCTGGGCGTCCGAAGCCGCCTGGGAGGTTCCAAAATCGCCCCACAACAATCCGAAATGGCTTCTAGGCAGTCAAAAAGAGCCCCAAAACGGCACAACACGGGTCCAAGATGGCCCTCAGAGAGCCCTTATGGCGGCCCAAAATGGCCCCAAGACACCCTCCGAAGCATTCCAAATCGTGACCCGGTCGTTCAGGGAGACCGCGGTTGGAGGCAGGGTGGCCCGAGGAAGCCCCCAGAGGCCCCCAGAATACGCCGAGGAGGCCTCCAGAAGGCCTTAAGAAAGCCTAAAACAACTGTTGCGAGGCCCCCAGAGGCTCTCCAAGGAGGAGCCTCCGCAGAAAAGAGCTGAGGATGGGGAGAATGCGCAGGGTATGGCGGACCTGAATAAAAGAAACATGGAAGAAGGATAGCGAATAACATTACTATAGCGACGATGCCGGAAAAGGCAACAAGGAGTTATAGCTAAATTGTCGGCTTGACCTTCCTGCTATTCCGCCTCCATGCCACACTTCAAGGACCAAGGTGCATGGCGCGAAGCGCCACTGCAGACTTGTATATACATATATATATATATCACTCGTAACTCCAGAATGTCTGTGAAAGCAGCGTGCCTATACAGGCACTGTATATGTATGGAGAAGCATTGCGCGCCCAGCCTTCGCACTTGCGATGGCAGCGCTCGGAGAGGCCCACTCCTCTGGGGTGAGGCGGGCCTGCATGTTGTACGTGTGGAACGCAATGATTACGCGTTCAAAAGCCAAACGATACATGCATATGTACATGTATGCCACCGCTCCCGCTATACGCATATATAGTCACATACAACATACATGCATAAACATATATATATGTATATATATGTACATATATACTTATACATGTATATACACATATACATATGTGTAAATAACAAATACGTATATGTTTATGCTACATCGCGAACGCTTCGCGCGCGCTTCGCGCGCGCTCAAGTTCTAGCTAGGCTTGATAGGCTAACCCATGCAACATCATGTTGGTCGCTTCTTGCGTCCAGGGACTCCCTTGGAGGCCCTGCGCAAGCCTCGGAATCGTAAAGAAGGGGAAGTGCGGAACGCAGAAATCATTAATTGCCTGTAGGTATTCAACGATTGGGGCCCTCAAAGGCTTCCTGGTTATTTTTTGGAAGGTGAGGGGGGTATGAATTGTGGTCTGTTGTGCAAGTGTAAACCGGGGGCCAAACTTGGAGAGAAAAAAAAAGGAATTGTGGGATTCCCATTTTTGTTCCATTTGCTCGGCGCTGCTCGGCGCTGTGTTTGTTTGTGCCTCGCGGGTTTTGTTGGAAGGGCCCCTCAGGGGTGTGGGATCCTTCGGACCCCCTGGGGGGTCTGGAGGCCTCCTGGAGGCCTGGAGAGCCGTCGGAAGGGTGTCTCGGGCTGCGCGGGAGCGTGTTGGGCCGTTCTTTACGTTCTGGGGGCTCCTTGGGGTCGTCTTGGGCTGTCCTTCAGCGTCTTGGGGTCTCCCCCCGGGAGGACGAGAGGCGCGGTACCGGCCAGATGTCAGGGAAATTCTCTGATTTTTGTTCTTCAAAATCCTCGATCTTCGAGGGTTGGAAGCGGGAAAACGTGAGAAGGCGAAAAACATTGGAAAACCCATGGGAAATCAACGAGTCTCCCCTCTTTGCGCTCTCTCGGGACGTCTCTCGCAGCTTGGGCTGTTCTTGGAGCCTCGTCGGCGTCTTTTTGGAGCCTCTCAAGGGTCGGAGGGTGTTTGGGGCCTCTGGGGGGTCCCGGAGACCTCTCGGAGGTCTCTGGAAGCCTCCTGCTCCCACTCTTGGGCCCATCTTGGGCCTGTTCTGGGGTGGTCTGGGGCTGTCCTGGGCGCCTCTTCGGCAGTCCTGGAGCCCTCTTGGCCCGTCTTGGGGCCGTCCTGAGGGTCTCTTGGGTGGTCTTGGGGCGGTCTTGGGCGGCTCTTCGGCGTTCTTGGACAGTTGGAAGCTCGAAAACGCGAGAAGCCAAACACATGAAAAAACCATGGAAATCGACGATTATGGCCTCTTCGGGCCGTCCCGGGACGCCTCTCGGATCTTTCTTGGGGTCTCTTGGAGGTTACCTCGGAGCCTCGAAAGCCGTCGGAAGACTGACTTGGGCTGCTTGGGAGCGTCTTGGACCATCCTTTCGCACTCTGGGGGCTCCTGGGAGTCGTCTTGGGCCCTCCTGGAGCGCTGTGGAGGCTCCCCGGAACGCCCGGGGGAGCGGTACCGGGAGCGATCCCGAGATGTTACGGGGAGGTGTGGCATCCGGGGACGTGGAGGGGCGGTATACACATATAATAGACATACACACATACATACATACATACATACATACATACATACATACATACATACATACATACATACATACATACATACATACATACATACATACATTCATACATACAGACAGACAGACAGACAGACAGACAGACAGACAGACAGACAGACAGACAGACAGACAGACAGACAGACATACTCACATACATATATATATATATACGTACATACATACATACACACATACACACATACATACATACATGCATGCATGCATGCATGCATCCATACCTACCTACCTACCTACCTACCTACCTACCTACCTACCTACCTACCTACCTACATACATACATACATACATACATACATACATACGTACATATGCCAGCGCTCCAGCTATATATATGTGTATATATAGCAACCATTGCGCGCGCTTCGCGCGCTATGGCCAGGGCCCAGGCCCAGCCCAGGCCGGGGGCACTATGGAAGATCCTGGACAGCGCCATCAAGCACAGGCGCGTGACGTAGTCGTGCCTCCTGCGGGCCTCTTGGCGAGGGGCTTCTTCGGGCTCTCCGTGATTCCTCAATTGGCTGTTGGAGGCACCTCTTGGGTGCTTCTTGGGGGGGCGTCTTGAGGCTTCTTTAAGGCCCTTGGAAGCATCGTCCGGGTTCTCCGGGCAGTTGGAAGGTGATATTCTGCAATCCGAAGCCGTCATCGGCCGTCTTGGCTGCATGAAGGCCCGACTTGAGGCTACCTGGGGCCACATTGAGGCAATCAGGAAGCCTCCCAGGGCCTCCTGGAGGCAGTTTTGACGCATCGAGAGCACTGTTGGGCCCATCTTGGGGCCTCTGATACGTCTCCTAGGGGCCTTTGGGGGCCTCTTGGGAGGTTTGGGGGGGCCTCGTCGGATCACTTGGGGGCCTCTTGGGGTCTCCTGTGGGCGGTTTGGGGGGGAGGCTCTGCTGTTGGGTTCGCGTTCCCCCTCTTCGGCCTCTCTGGGGGCCGTCTTGGGGCCCTCTCGATAGCGAAACCAAACCAAACCAAACCGAAAGACGTGGCGGCGCAGAAACCGGCCGAGCCGAACCTACCGACTGCAACCGACTGCGGAGCAGCCGAACCGACCCAACCGCGGACACCCCTGGCGATCCTCTTCGTTTGGCTTCCGGGTAACAACTCGGGTCTCCAGTGGCCGCTCGGGACGATTCGGGCACCCCCGGCACGCTCTCGGCGCGGCGCAGCTGCTGGAGAGCATCCCGAGAGGAACACAGCCGAGATCCGACGAAGACGTCCAGAAAACTCAACTCTCGACCCTCGAGACCTTGCTACCCGCAGGAGGGACTCAGGGGGGCAGATCCTTCTCGAAGTCGTCCGTCGTGGCGGCCGCCAGCGGACGCCAGGGCTCGGAAGCGCTGGCCGCTCGTCTCGCTCCTTCAGGGGGGGCAGACGCGTTCCGAGCCTCCAGCGCACCCCCTGCGATGTCGAGGAAGTGGCACGCCTGCCATGCGCTGCGAATCCTATCCGCATGCCGTGCGTATGGTGTGTGTTGTTGATGTGTCTGATGCACGTGAGGCGGTATCTGGATGTGTGTCTCATGTGCCCAGTACGTAGGAGGGGAGTAGGGAGGAGGGAGGGGGTGTGTACGAGCGACGAGATGGAGAGGGAAGAGGATGAGGAGGAGAAACGCGAGTGAGACGCGGCTGGGATGATAACCAAAACCCCACGAAACATGCAGGGAAATAAGCATGAAACCGACACCCATAACAAACATATCTATATATGTTCAACCTCACCACACAACATGAAAACGGCGCGAGCCCAATGTATGGATTTCCTTTTGAAAACGAGCCCGAAGAAACCGGGGAACCCTGGGAACCCGATAAACCCGGGGGAACTCAGGGAACAGAACCCGGGGAACCCGAGGAAACTGGGGAAATCGAGGAACCTCCGAGCAACGGGCCAAACAGCAGTAGGAGGCACCGAGGGCGGGGAACTCGAGGAACCCGGGGAGGGCGGGGAACCGGAGGAACCCGAGGAACCTCCGAGCAACGGGCAAAGTAACAATAGGAGGCACCAACCCCTAATCAAGTAAAAAAGCCTTAGGCAAGCCTAACTGGGGAAGAACTGGTGCCAATATCCTCATCCGATATCATCTTCAAAAAAGGTACATCAACATCAGACACCCAGAACAGACATCACAAACCTACGCCGAAAACACACATGCTGCTCATACACGGAAGGCGATGCATACACAAGCAACACCAAGAACTGACAATCAGAACTGGCATCAAGAACCAACACCCAGAACATGCATCAATAACAGACAGACACCAACAACCTACATCAAGAACATGCACCAAGATCGTACACCGTACACCAAGAACAGACATCCATATTTGACATCAAGAAAAGACATCCGGAACAGATGGCGGATTCTGGAAACCCTGAGCACCAAAAAGAGTTCATCTCTTTGGGGCACATATTTGACATCCCCTGGTTCCGCTTGCCTTCCGTCGGCAGAGCCGCCCCCGTTTTACTTCCGCCAGCTTCCGCCGACCTTCCGCCACCTTCCGCCCAGGAAAAGATAGCATGTGATTCGATCTTCGAAGGCGTGACTCTTTTCTGGAACCCCTCATACGCATGAATGCATGATGTGAGCAGGCGCACAGAAAATACATGAATAGTATACACCGGCAACATACACTTGGACCAGGCACCAGGAGCCATGATACATAGCAGACGCTGAGAACAGGCATCAAGACCAGGCACGAAGACCATGCCCCGAGGACATGCGCCCAGAGCAGACATCCAGGACAGACACCAGTAACATGCACCGTGCTACACTCAAACACCTTGGTGGGAATCGCTTACTCCAGATTTCGTAATAGAAGGGAGGGGGTCTGGACCCTCCAAGACAAGCCATTTCAGACCTCCCCCGTGGGAGAACCCTCCAAAACATCGTCCCCAGACCCACCAGGCCCTCCAAGATAGCCTGGAAGAGACCCCCCCCCGAAATGAGACCCCCCTCCCTTTATTACGAAATCTGGAGTACGGGAAACGGCGCCCGTGCCCGTGCCCGAACGGGAGGAGGAGGAGGAGAAGGAGGAGGAGGAGGAGCAGGAGCAGGAGGAGGAGCAGGAGGAGAAGCAGGACGAGAAGAAGGAGGAGGAGGAGGAGGAGGAGGAGGAGGGGGGGGAGGGGGAGGAACTAGGAGGAGCGAGCCCCCAAGCGATCCCCTGGGAACGGAAAAATTAACACGAAGCCCAAGAACAGACGCTATCCAATACCGACAGCGACCGCCATGGGGCAGGCGGACTTCTGCCTCAAAGGAACCACGTCCGCGGCGGCACCGACAGCGGGCCCGGTGCAGAATTGGCAGGAACCGCTGTCGCTTGTCGTACGGCAGGTTCGTGTCGTGACGACCACAGCGTTGGTTCACGGCGTTGGCTTCTGACACCGTGTGGATCGTTCGGCCTTGAATGATCGGCGGCTTTTCGATCGCCCGATCATTCCATACATAGGCCGCTTCTGGGCCAATGGCGGCGTTCAACCTTGAACGCCCGCGGCGGGGTCGCCGCCGGTCGACACGACACGAACCTGCCGTACCCACTCTTTCCATGCCCATCTCGATCGTACCGACCCCTGGCCACATCGCGATTCGCGCAGGCACCCTCTGGAAGGAGCCGTTCCTGGACAGTCCCCAGGTCGGCGCCGTCACGCATCGCGGCGCGACTGGCCCCCTCCCCCCCTCCCCCCACGTCCCGGGTCATGCCCGCTCTCGCCAGAGGATGAAACCTGATATCACCACGAACCCCGACCCTCTTGGATGACAAGTGGGCGTGACTTGCGATGGAGAGAAAAACGAGGAAGAGGATGCGTATACCGAGCATAATGTTGATTCCAACGCTGTCCATTTAACGCTGTGCCATTTTAAGGCGCATTCTGCTTGTTCACGTGTTGTCCGCTTGCTCTCTCCACAGGATGAAAGAACTGTCCCTCACGGCGTGGTTCCCCGGAGGTCTGCACCCTGGCCCCCAATCCAAGGGGACCAGCATTCTGTCCTCGGTCGTTCTTCGGAAGGCGACAAGCGGCGCAGGTTTGCTACGAATTGCGAACCAGCTGGGGTCGGCGCGCGGGGGTCGCTAAAGGGATAGGGGGTCATCGGCGGCGCCAGCGGATGACAAGGTGAACTGTGCATGGCCGACAAAATGCGTTTCGTGAGCGCCTGCGTGGAAAAACGCCCAGACACATTGGAACCGGGACCCCCCGGCCCAACACATTGAGCAGCCCAGGAGAACTGCCGCCCCCCCCGAAGACAAGGGGGACGGGGTTCGGACCTGCAGAGCCCCCCCCCCCCTGATTTGCGAGGGGGGGTCGCACCGACCGGTGGGCCCCCCCCCCCTGCCTGAGGAGGGGGGTCCGAACTGGTGGTGGCCCCAGTGCAGGGGGGGGCGTTCGAACTGGGAGTGGGGCACCGCCCCGTCCAGGGAGGGGTGGTTCGAACCAGGCGCCCCCGCCCCCCCCCGGAAGCGGGACAAACTAGAACGAACTGAAACCGATTCGAGCAAAAATAGTGCAAGTTCCAAACCCGTGAATAAGAATTCCAACCACTCGAGGAGGAATTCCAACCAACCTCTACGAGAACCCCCACAGGCGTCATAGAGGCGTCGCACGGGCGACTTCGAGGCGTCATGCGGGCGTCTTAGAAACGTCATACGAGCGTCTTCGAGACGTCGCGCGGCAGTTTGAGGAGCGTCGTACGGGCATCTTAGAGCGTCGCACGGGTGTCTTCGAGGCGTCGTACGGGCGTCTTACTTAGCGGCGTCTAACAGGCGCCTAAAGGAGTCGCGCGGGCGTCTTAAGAGGCGTCGCACGGGCGTCTTCGAGGCGTCGTACGGGCATCTTCGAGGCGTCGTGCGGGCGATATATGGGGCGTCGCACGGGCGCCTTCGAGCATCGCACTGGCGTCTCAGAAGCGTCGTACAGGTGACTTCAAGGCGTCGCGCGGGCGCCTTCAAGGCATCGTACGGGCGTTTTCGAGTCGTCGCGCGGGTGTGCTAGGGGCGTCGCACGGGCGTTCTCAAGCATTGTACGGGCGTGTTAGAGGAGTCGCACGGGCTTCTCACTTAGAGGCGTCGCATGGCATCTTGGAGGCGTCGTACGGGCGTCTTAGAGGCGTCGCACGGGCGTCCTAGAGAGGAGTTTTGGCGGCGTCGCACGGATGTCTAAAGCGTCGTACGGGCGTCTTAGAGGCGTCGTACGGGCGTCTTCGAGGCGTCGCGCGGGCGTCTTCGAGGCGTCGCGCGGGCGTCTTAGAGGCGTCGCACGGGCGTCCTAGAGAGGAGTTTTAGCGGCGTCGCACGGGCGTTCTACAGGCGTCGCGCGGGCGTCTTAGAGGCGTCCTACGGGCGTCCTCGAAGCGTCGTGCGGGCGCCTTACGGGCGTCGTACGGAACCCTGTTGCCCAGGCGCCGTAAAACCTTCTAGCCTTAAGACCTTTAATACCTCAACCCTTAACCATTTAAAACCGTGAACAGTTGAAAACTTTAAGCCAAGAATATTCAGACGAAGCCTTGAAACCTGAAGCCCTGAAACCCGTAATATATCAAACCACCAAACGTTTAAACCCTGAAACACTAAAGTTCTTGATCCTTCAATCCTCAAGCCTCGAGCTCGGAAGCACTTACAACCCATATGCCATCTAAGTCCCTAAAAATGGCATACCTGGACAAACCTGGTACAAATTCCAACCTGGGCAATCATGTCAGCTTCTAGAAACACGTGCAGCCATACTATTCTTATTTGTTATTGGGATACCCTAACATCGCTTCACACTTGCAATCATACAGCGACCGTGTTTGGCCGCTTGGGCTTAATACCAGTTCGTCGAGCTGTTTAGAACATGTACCAGCCGGTCGGGATTAACCCCAGTCGGATGAGATGCTTACCGCATGCGGCTGCATGCGCCCCCCCTGCCCAAGGGGGGACGGTCCACCCTTGAATGCAACGGGGGACGGCGACGGCGACGGCGGCGGCGGTCGAAGACGACGACGACGAGGACGATGACAACAACGACGACGACGATGACGACGATGACAACAACGACGACGACGATGATACTGATGATGACGACGACGGTGGCGGTGACGGTGACGGTGACGGTGACGGTGATGATGATGGCCATGGTGATGGTGACGGTGGTGATGATGATGATGGTGATGATGATGATGTTTATTGTTGTTCGTCCCCTGCGGCCTGGTGCAAGCTATCGTGTCCAAGACAATATGGTGCAAGCTATCGTGTCCCCGGCGACCTGTCGCAGCAGTTTGCACCCAAACCAGCGATAAAACTGTTAAGGCGCCTTGCGCCCACTTCTACCTCAAAAGGCGTATGCTTGAGGTGATCCAACTCCGCTCGCTCGCCGCTGGCTTT